CATTGCTGGTGGGACTGCAAATTGGTGCAGCCAATTTGGAAAGCAGTATGGAGATTTCTTGGAAAGCTGGGAATGGAACCACCATTTGACCCAGCTATTCCCATTCTCGGACTATACCCAAAAGACCTAAAAAGAGCATACTACAGGGACACAGCCAAGTCAATGTTTATAGCAGCACAATTCACGATATCTAGACTGAGGAATCAACCTAGATGTCTTTCAATAGACAAATGGATTAAAAAAATGTGGCATTTATACACAATGGAATATAACTCAGCACTAAAAAATAACAAGATCATGGCATTTGCAGGGAAATGAATGGCATTAGAGCAGATTATGCAAAGTGAAGTTAGCCAATCCCTAAAAAACAAATGCCAAATGTCTTCTTTGATCTAAGGGGGTGACTAAAAATGGGATAGGGAGGAAGAGCATGAGAAGAAGATTACCACTAAATAAGGAAGAGAGGTGGGAGGGAAAAGGAGGAAGAAGAGGAGTTGCATGGAAGATAGGAGACCCTCATCATTATACAGAATACATGTATAATGTTGTGAGGAGAAAAAGAAAAAAAAAGTGTGTCACATTAGATTGGATATAAAGAAATGATGGGAGGGGAGGGGAGAAGAAGGGGGGATAGGAAGGGCTGCAGAATAGGACATTATGATTTCTGTATGTATATAGGTGACTGTATGACCAGTGTGATTCTGCAATCTGTACAATCAGAAAAATGAGAAATTATACCCTGATTGATTCAAATGTATGAATTGCCAATATCATTTAATGTCATGTGTAGCTAAAAAAAAAAAAAAGTTAGAGAACCCTGTTGGAAAGGCCCATGAGGCAAGGAGGTGAGGGTGGTCATTGGCTGACATTAACAAGGGGCTGAGGCCCTCAGTCTAACACCCTGAGTCACTGCATTCTGCCAACAGCCACTTGAGCCTGGAAATAGATCCTTTTGTTTCTATCTTGGCTGACACTTTGATCGAAATCTTGTCAAAGCCTGAAGTTTGTGATAATATTGTTATACAACAATAAATAATTAATGCAAAGTATATATCAACAATGTCCAGAAAAGAAAAGCAGAAAATGAAATTTTTGCTTTGTTGATTTATAATCGTGCTGGTAAAAAAAAAATTTAATAAAGAAATTCAGGGGCTGGGGATGTGGCTCAAGCGGTAGCACACTCGCCTGGCCTGCGTGTGGCCTGGGTTTGATCCTCAGCACCACATACAAACAAAGATGTTGTGTCCGCCAAGAACTGAAAAATAAATATTAAAAAATTCTCTCTCTCTCTCTCTCTCTCTCTCTCTCTCTCTCTCTCTTTTTCTCTCTCTTTAAAAAAATTAAGAAATTCAGTATTTAACAGCAAAAAAAAAAAATACCAACTATAATTATCTTACTATTATCTTGTTGATCCTTTTATAATCAGAAAACTATTTACTTGAATATATATTACTAGATATTATCCATTGGAATTACTCATACTATTTTTAATGTTGAGTTTTTGAATTAAAATAATAGATTATCACATGTTTTACACATATGTATAAATAAATATACATATGTATATATTCATAAGTATTCCTTAAAATTTTCAATGTCACTGTGGATAATTGATAATATATGTCAATTATACATATAGATATATGCCAGTGTATTCCTGATATATCTAAATAATTTGTTAATATTTTCAAGACCCTGATATGAGTGTTTCTTTAAATTTTATGCCCTGAGAACCTCACTGACCTCATCATAATCTTAATCCTGATCCTTGGTAGAGAGGGCTAGAATGTAGGACTGATTAGGCAAGAATTTAATTATTTAAAGGCTTTTTTTTTTTGAAAACTAGTTAACACTATGTAACAAAGAATTAATTTACTTAGAGGAATATTTAACTGTAGGAATATTTTGACATAACTTTGAATCTTGCCTTAGGACTTTTAAGATTGGTTAAGTTATATATAAAGTCTAAAATTCTTCGGAAAGATTGAGAGTGTATTTGTTAACTGATAGTTTTCAAACAGGAATAATCAGTAACATAAAAACCAAAACTCAAAAATCCTTCTGTTTTTCTCACAAAGGCAAGCTTTCCGCTGACTCTTGAGGAATTTATTGGATTTGGAAATTGATAAAATATAATGTGAGGGAAGGGGAGGGGGGATAGTAGGGGATAGGAAAGGTAGCAGAATACAACAGTTACTAATAGGGCATTATGTAAAATTGTGGATGTGAAAC